GTGTTGTGGGATGCAGGAGGGGATTTGGGATGCAGGGAGAGTTTTGGGGGCCTGGAAGGTGTTTTGGGAGGCTGGGAGAGAGGTTTTGGGGTGCAGGGAGAGTTTTGGGGTGCTGAAGGTGTTTTGGGGGGCTGGGAGGGGTGTTGTGGGATGCAGGAGGGGATTTGGGGTGCAGGGAAAGTTTGGGGTGGCTGGAAGAGAGGTTTTGGGGTGCAGGGAGAGTTTTGGGGGCCTGGGGAAGAGGTTTTGGGGTACAGGGAGAGTTTTGGGGGGCTGGAAGGTGTTTTGGGGGCTGGGAGGGGTGTTGTGGGATTCAGGGGGGATTTGGGGTGCAGGGAGAGTTTTGGGGGGCTGGGAGGGGTTTTGGGGTGCAGGGAGAGTTTTGGGGGGCTGGGAGAGAGGTTTTGGGGTGCAGAGAGAGTTTTGGGAGCCTGGGAGGGGTTTTGGGGGGCTGGGAGGGGTATTATGGGATGCAGGAGGGGATTTGGGGTGCAGGGAGAGTTTTGGGGTGCAGAGAGAGTTTTGGGGGGCTGGGAGAGAGATTTCGGGGTGCAGGGAGAGTTTTAGGAGGCTGGGAGGGAGATTTTGGGGTGCAGGGAGTTTTGGGGGGCTGGGAGAGTGGTTTTGGGGTGCAGGGAATTTTGGGAGGCTGGGAGGGAGGTTTTGGGGTGCAGGGAGACTTTCGGTGGTCTGGAGAGAGATTTTGGGGTGCTGAAGGTGTTTTGGGGGACTGCGGGGGGGGTTTGGAGGGTCTGGAGAGAGATTTTGGGGTGCAGGGAGAGTTTTGGGGGGCTGGGAGGGAGACTGTGGGATGCAAAGGGTATTTGGGGTGCTGAAGGGGATCAGGACCATTTTGGGGTGCTGGAGGAATTTGGGGGGGTCTGGAGAGAGATTTTGGGGTGCAGGGAGAGTTTTGGGGGTCTGCAGAGAGATTTTGGGGCGCTGAAGGTGTTTTGGGGGCGTGGGAGGGAGATTCTGGGATACAAAGGGTATTTTGGGTGCTGAAGGGGATCGGGGCCATCCTGGGGTGCAGGAGGGGTTTTGGGGTCCAGGGTTGATATCAGGGGGGGTTCTGAGGTCGGGGTGACCCTAAAAAGGCCCTTTTTGCCCCCAAAAGGAAGGTGAAGACGCTGGGGGAGGAGGAGCCCTGGCTGGACGACGCGGCCGCCTGGATCGAGCGGAGCCGGGCGCTCCAGAGGGAGAAGGAGCTGGCGGAGAAAAGGGTGAGGAGGGGACCCCAAAACCCCTCCCGGGACCCCAAAACCCATCCCAGGACCCCAAATCCCCTCCTGGGACCCCAAAACCCATCCCAGGACCCCAAAAGCCCTTCTGGGACCCCAAAAGCCCTTCTGGGACCCCAAAACCTCTCCTGGGACCCCAAAACCCATCCTGGGACCCCAAACCCCCTCCCGGGACCCCAAACCCCCTCCTGGGACCCCAAATCCCCTTCTGGGACCCTAAATCCCCTCCCAGCACCCCAAACCCCTCCCGGGACCCCAAATCCTCTCCCGGGACCCCAAATCCCCTCCCGGGATCCCAAACCCCCTCCTGGGACCCCAAATTTCCTCCTGGGACCCCAAACCCCCTCCTGGGACCCCAAACCCCTTCCCGGGACCCCAAACCCCTTCCTGGGACCCCAAACCCAAGAACATCTCTCAAAATCCCTAAAACCCAACGTTTTTGGGGTTTTGACTTTCAACTTAGTGCGTTTTTCCAGCCAAAATTCAGCATTTTGAGCTTAAAACACATCAATTTTTGGGGATTTCCTCGCCAAAATGAGTTAATTGCACTCTGATTTTTAGGAATTTCGGAGCCTCTTTAAGTTTGTTGTTGATTTTTAGGAGCATCCCTTAAAAATCTCTGAAAAATTGACAATTTTGGGGCTTTAACTTCCAACTTATTACGTTTTTCTGAGGCGAAATTCAGTGTTTTAAGCTCATTTATGCCCCGAAACGAATCCAGCAGAGAATTCCCAGACTCCCAACTTTTCCAGGGGGGTGCTGGGGGGGTCCCTGGGTCGATCTCCCCCCTCCCAGTCGCTCCCAGTGCCCCTGACTGGTTTAACTGGGGGGCTGCTGGCGCAGGCGAAGCTGCTGGAGGAGATGGACCAGGAGTTCGGGGTGAGCTCGCTGGTGGAGGAGGAATTCCAGCGGCGCCGGAGGGTGAGCGAGGGGACACTGGGGACACTGGGGACACTGGGGACACTGGGGGCACTGGGGGATGTGGGGGGGACACGGAGGGACCCCCGTGACCCCCCCCTGCCCCCCCCAGGAGCGATACAGCGCCCGCGACCTGCAGGGGCTGACGGTGGAGCACGACCCGGCCGCCATCCCCGAGGGACAGACGCTGGTGCTGACCCTCAAGGACAGGGGTGAGGACATGGGGACACTGGGGACACTGGGGGGGACATGGGAACATTGGGGGAGGACATGGGGACACTGGGGACATTGGGGGGGACGTGGGGACACTGGGGACATTGGGGACATTGGGGGGGACATGGGGACACAGGGACAGACCCTGGTGCTGACCCTCAAGGACAGGGGTGAGGACATGGG